TGGATGCAACACGTAAGGACAGATTCAGTTCCTTTCACGCTATCCTTGACAGCCAATCACCACCGGACGCTGAGTATTGGTTGGATTCTCGAGTGTTGGAAGCTGTCGAGGTGGCTACTTATCTTGAGAATACAGAGAAGGAGATGCAAGTTCTGGAGGTGGAGTTCGAATCAGAGATCTCCAGGCTTGTGATCTTGACCACCGAGGAACACAAGTTGCCTAAGTATGAGACCTTCTCTCTTTTTGCGAACGACGGGGGCCATCGTGTGATTTTGTCTGTCCACTCGACGGGGAAGACCAAGATGGTTATTGAACGAGAGGCTGACGAACTCAGCAAGGATGACCTGATCAAGCATCGAGTGGAAGTGGAAAAGGCTATGTCGAAGGAGCTAGGCAACTGGATTGAATTGGGTGCGCTCAAGCAACGAAGCAGGCTAGGGTGCACCAACTTGATGGACTCTCGATGGGTGATCCGTTGGAAGAAGCAGCCAGACGGTAAGTTGGCAGTCAAAGCTCGACTGTGCATCAAGGGCTTCAAAGATCTACAGCAGGATCGCCTGGATATCTTCAGTGCGACCGCCTCGAGACAAAGTCAGAGGATAGTTAATTTCATCGCGGCAAGTCGCCCCAAGCGGGCGTTGTGGTCTTGCGATGCCGGCAGCGCCTTTCTGAAGGGACTTACATTTCAAGATGTAGCAGATATGACAGGGGAGCCCCTCAGAACCGTTCAGTTGGACCTGCCCGAGGACACGGTGAAGATCGCAAGGCACTTTGAACCATTATCTAACTATGATGTGAGTCAACACTGCTTAGAGATGGTACGTCCAGGTTTCGGTCTCAAGGATGCGCCAAGGTTATGGAATCTCAGGCTAAAGCAGGTAATGACGAAGCTTCAACTCTTGCCGTTGGCGACAGATTCACAATTCTACTGCAAGTGGGCTGGCTCTCGATGTGAACCTGCACCTCGTGAGATGGCACCCATGAACGCGGACGAGGACAAGGCCCGATGCACAGACGTGTTATTCACCGACCCGGAGATAGCGATCGAGGACTTGCAGATGGTGCGCAGCACACACGTGGACGACCTCAAGGGCGCCTCGATCGAATCGATTGCTGACGCCTTTATGGATGCTCTCGAGTCGGAGTTCGGGAAGCTCACCAGGCAAAAGAGAAGGTTCGAGCACTGTGGCGTTGCTCATGATCAGCATGAAGACGGATCTGTGCGGTGCTCTCAGGATCACTACGCGGCTCAACTTCGGCCGATGCAGGTAGACAAGATTCGAGCTGATGACGAAGCCCTCGATTCTCAAGACCGAACTTCATTTTGGTCACTCTTGGGTGGAGCAGCCTGGATGTTAGTCACGCGAGCAGATGTTGCAGTCCACATTGGATATCTACAACGTCACGCTCACGAACCTTGCTGGAAACATGTTCGACACTTGAACTCAGTTGTACGATGGATCAAGAGAAAGAAGAGTTCGCTTGTCTACTATTCAGTACCTCTACCATGGAGTGTTGTGGGTTTCCCTGGCAGTGCTTTCCGGGCGACTGAGCCGGACTGTCTAGCCGTGAGAGCGGCAGTGATTGCGATTGCTGGTCGGGACTTCATGCCGAAAGGAGGACTGTGTGCGGCAGTGAAGTTCTACTCACGAAAGCAACCTCGAGTATGTCGTTCGACTTTCTCGGCGGAGCTGGCAAGCGTGGATGATGGTATCAGCAATGCACTGTTGACGCAAGTGATGGTGTGTGAGATCGTTCACGGTCCCTTGACGGCGAAACAAATTCAGCGATGTATGGATACGGGAAGGCTACCAGTGGAGCTGCATGTGTGCACGGACAACAGGGGCCTGTTCACGGCGCTGGGTGCAACAGAACTGAAGGCACCCGCGGAACCTCATCTTTTATATTTACTGCGCGCTCTACGCGATAGACTTGAAGCAGGTACTCTTTCCAAACTCTGGCGGGTGGACATTAGAGCCATGATCAGCGACGCGTTGACTAAGGGTGGACTGGCTCGAGAACCTATCCTGAAGTTGTGGGAGACGGCAGTGTTGATGATAACCGGAGATGAACCCCTGTCTCTGTGCTTGCGGGGTCCCCACAAAGATACCAGTGAGTGGGAAGATCAGTGAATCGTGATCTTTGCGTATTTTGATGGATTACAGGATTGTCAGCGACGATTGGTCGACTGCGTCTGCAGGGAAAAGATTTCCCCATTCTTTCGGGTCTACGCTATTGTGGACCGTATACTTGGCTTGCGCGAGATTTATTGTTTCTCGCTATATTTATTTCTTCAATCGTTGCTATTTTTGTTTATGGCAGTATCCGACGATGTTATCTGCTACTGTGGTATTGGCAGTAGCCTCCAAGGTGTTCTTTGTGAGTTTATTTCAGCCGTCTTTCCCCCTTTTTAGCCTCTGGAGTCCCCGTGTTGTGTTCAGGGTGCTCCAACATAGAGCGTTGTATGTTTTGGTGGCTTGCCTATCAGAGGTCGGTTGCCAGTGGCGGGCCAGCCGCAAGAAATGATCTGCTGTGCTCTCAGTGCGCGTGCGTGGGATCAGCTCGTAGACTTTCGCTGCGTTTTCCCACCCCGAGTTGATGTGTAGACGTCCTCCCGAGATCAGGGAGGGGAAGCATGAGTGCCCAGCATGTAGCGAGGTATGTATATGACAGAGCGGCGTGATCGCCGCTTTGGCTCAAGCCATTCAGTGAGTAACCTCACGCGAGTGCGAATCCTGTTTGCGGCGGCAAGCCCCTCTTTCCCCATCATTCCATATCAGATAATCACGATTATCAGAGTCACGACGATCCTCGTGGTCCTCTCCCTCTTCGTGGCCCTCAGGGCCAACAGGGCTCTCAGGACCGGCACGCTGGGAGTGCCAGTATCACCTCTGTCAGCGGACGCGCTGGCAGACTACGACGGCGGCGAACCTCTGGAGGCGTTGACCCAGGAGGAGGAGCGAGAAGAAAACAACTCCACCACCACCAGAACCCACCACCACCACCACCACAAACCACCACTACACCACCACCACACCACCACCACCACCACCACCACCACCACCACCACCACCACAACCCACCACCACAACCACCACCACCACCACAACAAACCACCACACCACCACCACAACCACCAACCACCACCACCACCACCACCACAACCCACCACCACCACCACCGTCGTCCTCGTCGACGCTCCCCGCCGCCGCCCGCCGCCGCAGGCGCCGGCGCCAGCCCAGAAAAAGGAAATCGCTGTCCCCGCCGCCGATGCAGGCGCTGGCCCGAGGTGAGAGAGAGGAGAAGGAGGGGAGGAAGGGGGGGGGGGTCGGGTTCCAACCCACCCTCCCCCCCTCCAAGCGACCACAGAACGCGTTTTTTCTCACGCTGAGACAGAGGAAGCCACAAGGAGGAGGAGAGACAGATGAACAGGAGGAGGAGGAGGACTTGCAGCAAGGCGAGGCGAAGGAGGAGGGGAAGGGGGAGGAGAGGATGGGGGGAGGGGATGGATGAGGAGGAGAGGGAGAAGGAGGGGGAGGAGCAGGACGGGGAGGAGGAGCCCGAAGACGACGAGGACGGAGAGGGAGGAGGGCAAGTCCAAAAAGGCAGAGGGGGTGTCAGAACTCGTTTCGATTTTTCCGATTCGATTCGATATCGGTTCGATTTCGGGCTCTCCTGGGGTGCGCCTGCAGGTGGGTCATCGCGCCCCCGCCTTGTAAGTTTCAGTACCAAAAGGTCTTTGGACGCCGCCGGAGGCCGCAGGAAGCCTCCGCAGGCCTCCGAGGGCTTCGACATGGATGAACTGTTTAAGTTGTTTTTTATCAGCAGGGCTTCAAAAGATGACCAGAAGGGCCAAACGCCTCCTCGATCCTTGTTGTTCGAGGGCCCCTGACAAAGAGGAGATCTTAGGATACCCCCCATCGACTGCCCTCGGGGGCAGCCGTCTTTGGGGCCTCTTGGGCCGTCTCGGGGGCCTCTCGGGGGCCCCCCGGGCTGCTCTGTGGCCCTCTTGGGCCGCCAGGGGGGTCTCTTGGGCCACCTTGAGGCGGCCTGGGAGAGCTGCGCCCCCTTCGACCGCGCCGGCGGCCTCCCACAAGCCGCCCGGTGCACCGCCTTGGGGAGCTCGGCCGCGTCCTCGCGTGCCCCTCAGCTTCCTCCCCCAGGCATGATCGCGCCGTAGAAGCGATAAAGTCAGGGCGGAAGGTTTGTGGCAATTTTCGGCTTCGGCGGGCCCTCGCCAGGCCTCAGGACCATCAGAAATGGCTCGGGATGAAAGAGGCGGTCCCAGGGAACGAGTCCGGACTTCCAGGGACCCCGTCCTGAAAAAATCAGGGCGTCGCATGTCAGGGCCCCGCCCCTGCTCTGCCAGCAAGCATTCGGTCGGGAAGTCTCTTGCTTCGCGCGTCGCGCCGCCAAATTCTAGCCCACCGCGCACGCCCTCGGCCTTGAATTGTGGTCTCGAGACGCATCGGCATCGGAGGCGCAGGTGTAAGCCTCTTGGGACGAAGCATCAAGGAGTGTGAGAGTCCCGTTTGTCATATGCAGTCCCCCTTGCACGGGATGATTACAGTCCACCCGCATAGTGAGGATGAGTAGTTTTCCTAGGTCACCATTGCATCCTTCCCCTTCGGCCCATCCTTGGCCGTTTTCGCTGGCCGCGCCCCGCTCGCAAAGTGTTGGCATGGCCTTCCAAGACCCTTGCATCTTTCTTGTGCGTCGTGAGAGGAAGGATGCAAGGGTACCCTTGGAGAGCTGCTCATCCTCACTATGTGGGTTGACTGTACCTTCTAAGAGTCGCGTCCCTCGCCAACCTCGTCCGCGGTCCCGAGCGGCAGCGTCCCGGGCCGCTCCCAGCCTTCGCGCCGCTCAGGGTGCGGAGCGTCACGCTGTCCGCTCGCGGGCCGCAGCGTGTCGCTGGGGCTGCCGCCGCGACACGCTGAGCAGCACTTCCCGCTCGGAAGGTGTCGACATGGCCTTCCCAGGCCCTCGCGTCCTTAATCGCGCGTCCTTACTAAACAGGTTGACTGCATCTTCTGAGCGTCGCGTCCCTCGCCAACCTCGTCCCCGTTCCCAAGCGGCAGCGTCCCGGTTGGGGCTCAAGAGACGTGGATCAATGCAAACGGGGGTCAGCCAGGGCGCTGGATCTTGCAGGATACTGCAGAGCCAGGGCTGCACTGACCCGGGCTTGGGTGCAAGATCCTGCAGGATCATGCAGAATCTTATAGGATCCTGCAAGGCCTGACTGACCCAGGTCTGGACTGACCCGCGTCAGAAGATCCCCGACTCGGGCCTCTCCTGGCCCCCCGCGCCTCTCGGGGGTGCGGAGCTGCGCGCGGTCCGCTCGCGGGGCGCGGGCGCGTCACTGGGGCCGCCGCCGCCGCGGCACGCCAGGCCAGAGTTCCCAACCGCAGAGGTGGAGAAACTGGAGTCCTTTTTCGATCCGATCGATCCAATGCGATTTTGTTTCAAATACACATTGTCCTGACGAATTTGTGTCTTGAGCTCACGGCGTCGATTTGCCGCCCGACGCTCGCTCGCACGACGCACGTTTGATTGGTGCGTGCGGGGGCTGGTCAATCCCCAGTCAACGTTCTGTTGCCGATGCGCCATCCGGGCGCCTGGCTTCTCTGTCTGTCTCTGTCTGTTCTATTCGATTCGATTCCGATGTTCCGACGATCCGATGCGGCCCGATGGTTGCACGGCGCTGGTGTGCATCTTGGCGCAGCCGATCCGTTTCGATTCCGACGCCGTGCCGATGCGGCCCGATTCGATGCTCATTCCGATCCGATCCGATTTCCCGATTCGATTCTGACGTTTCCTGTAAATTTGGCTGCCAGCAGGTGTCCCCAGGAGTTTCTTTCCCCGACGACCAGATCGACGACAGGCGTGTCCCTGTGTCTCTTGCGGCGGGACGTCTCATGGTACATATCTGCTGCAGTGCCAATTGAACTACGCCGGATTGATCGGCCGTGACATGTCTCTAGTGTGGGCTGACTCAGACTGCGCGTGGCCAGCCGTGCGCCAATGAACGCATAGAGGCACTAGCGTTGGCGCCCCCCAGCTGCGGTCGGGTGCCCAGCCTCGGCATGGTGCGTTGGGATCCCAAATTCCTGTTGCAACCTCGTCGATATTGTATTTTCCCGTATCAGTTTTATCGTTGATCATCGGTGCAGTTGAACCATCATTATCCAGATGCCTGCGGAAAACGGCGCCACCGTGCTTGTGCAACAGTGTATCAGGAAGAAGTCTGAGTGTGGGAACAGCCCAATTTCGACGACTGGTCTGAACTGGGACGGGTCGTGAACGCGACCTCGTCATCGTCCGCGCGTCAGAGGGGAGGTCGAGTTCACGCCCCGATGCATTTCAGCGAGCGGTCTTAATTGAGGCGGGTCGTGAATTCGACCTCATCCTCGTCCGCGCAGGAAGAAGGAGGAGGAGGTGGAGGAAGGGGAGGAGGAGGAGGAGGAGGAGGAGGAGGAGAAGGAGGAGGAGAAGGAGGAGAAGGAGGAGAAGGAGGAGAAGAAGGAGGAGGAGGAGAGAATGAAGACAAGGAGAAGAAAGCCTCTTAGGGGCCCTCTTGGGGCATCCTGGGGGCCTCCCCAGGGGGAGCCTCCTGGAGCCTCTTGGGCGCCTCATGTGGCCTCTCGGACCGTCTTGGGGAGCTCGTGGCCCGTCCGACGCCTTCGGAGGCCGTATTGGGGGCATCTTTGGGCCGTCTTGGTGCGTTCTGGGACCGCTTGAGTGGAGTCTTGGGCTCCGATTGGGAGCTTTTAAGGCGATCGTGGACTCCCCTGGGGCCGGCTTGGGGCCCTCTTTGGGGGCTTCTGGGGCTGTCTTGGAGCTATCGTGGAGGCATCTTGGGTCGCCCTGGGCGGTCGGAAACTCAAACAGGCAGGTGAGAACCCAAAAATCCTTCAACACACAAGGCAAGTCAATGTGTTTCGCCTCCGAAGGGCCATTTAGGTGTCTTTTGGGAGCTTCCTGAGGACGTCTTGGGAACCTCTTGAGGCCTCCTGGGTTGTCTTAAGGAGCTCGTGGCTCGTCTAACGCCTTCGGGGGCCGTTTTCGGTACACCTCTGAGCAGCAGTCGTGGTGCCCTCGTGGACGTCTCTTGGGCGATCGTGGGGTACGCTTGGGAGCCTCTTGGGCTGTTGGAGCTATCGTGGAGGTCTCTTGCGCCGTCTTGGGCGGTCGCAAACCCAAGTAGGCGAGAGCAACACAACTTGTCAAAAACCTAAGGGTAATCGAAGAGCGTTGCCTTCTCTGACTCTTGGACGGCCTCTTGAAGCCCTCGTGGGCCGAAGTGAGTGCCTCTAGAGTCGAATTGGGGGCCTCTTGGGAGCTTATTGGGCCGCATTGGGCCTGTCTTGGTGTCATCTTGGCTGCCTCGGAAGCAGTCTTGGACGCCGTCTTGGCAGTCTGGTGGCCGAAAAGAGCGCTCTAACACGCCCACTCCGTGCAAGCACGGTGGCGGGTGTAGGTGCCAGTGGCAAGTTGCGCCACCGTGCCAGCGCAGCACAGTGTGGAAACATGTCGATCAACGGCCAGAGAAATATAGCATGTGGCAGCTCTCGCCTATAGCACAGGGGCTCCGTAACATGCGACACGCTCTTCCGTAGGCCAGGACATGCCATGAAGTGTGATTGCCGTGTTCCTCACACCCAAGTGTCAAGAGTTGTGATTCGTGACGCCTCTCGTCTGAAGATCCAGGTTACCCGTAACATGGGCCGTACCGATTCTACGCACTTGTCTTCCAGCTTCAGCACCTCGCTTCTCCAGTGGAGAACGGCAGGCTAGGAGGAGGAGGAGGAGGGGGAGGGACAAGGTAGGTACGCTCGCGCCATACCTGACGCCCTCTTCCTCCAAACCCTTCCCATTGTGTTGATTGTGTCTCTATCCGCGGATGCGTGTCATAGCCGACCTTGAACTTTAAACAACACCCATCGTGTTATGCGCTATAGGACAAAGGGGAGTTGCGTACATGGGAGGGGGAGGAGGAGTTGGCGGGTGAGCAGCAACATGAGCCAGAGGCAAAGGAGGAAGGATGAGGACGAGGACGAAGAGCAGCAGCAGAAATTGGAATGGAAGGAGTGGGAGGAGCAGACGGACCAGGGAAAGGCGGAGGAGGGGGAATGAGGGGGCATCAAGTGTGGATAGAAAGACGGGCCCGCGCTGGGGCGAGGAGCGCGATTCTGAACGACGGGGGCATTGCCGGTCCGACAATGAGGCCCACGGAAACAGCCGGATTGCCAAAAGCGTACGAAGCCAACAAAACATAATTTTCTAAATTTGTCGTGTCGGAGCAATTCGCGGAGAGGGTCGAACATTTTCCGCACAGCGACGAAGGAGTGAGGAGAGTAGTATTCGTAACTTGTAGTTGTTGAAGGAGGGGAAGATTCTGCAACGGCCCCTGGGGTTCTCTTGGGCTGTCGTGGGGCGCCCTGGGCCACCCACGTGACTCGTTGTGGCGTCTTGGCGGCCTCTGAGGCCGTCTTGGACCCCTGGTCCAATGGGGTTTACGCGGGTCGCCATTCTGCTGGACAGGGGCTCAGGAGAGCAGCACCCAGTGAATCGAGCTCAACAGGCTGGGCGTGCGCAAGACGCAAACTCTGCCTGACCCCCCTGGAGACTCAGGAAAGATGCTGCATTGAAACGCCGTGCTACGCCAAGGAAGGACGATCTCTCGTGTAGGTCTGCGTAGGAGGGCACACCGCTGAACCCCTTAGGGGTCAATTTGGAGTGGCTCCAAGCTAAGGGACCTGGAGAACCTCTGAGAAAACTCTTGGTGCCTTCCGGAGTCATCTGACGGAGATCTTGGGACCTTGGCGCTCTGTGGGGACCTCTGGGGTTGGGGGGGCCTAGGTAAGGGTGTTTGCAACGTCTTAGGGTCTTTTCGGGTCATCTCGGATGCCGTGGGACTGGCATTGAGGCCGAGAGGTGCGGCGGGGAGGAAAAGTCAAATACTGACACTGATTCTGATGCCATGACGCGGGTAGAGGGGCAGGAGTCGACCCTGCAGAATGGTGGACATCCTACCAGACAGCCTAGATGATGCATTACACGCCGCAGCGTGTGGGGTGGCATGGTGTCGGATTGGTTGCGTTCTCCGCACGTCGCTAGTTGTCTCAAGAAGTCAGGATGATAGCTTCTGGCGCGTTTGTGCCCCGTCCTAGCCAGCATCGGCCAGAGTGACCGCTATGGCGGAGCAGCTGCGAAAGAGCCGCCAGGAGTTACAGAAGAACACTGTGGCTGGTACGCTGACAGGTGCGACGACCATCTGCTTGACGCAGCCACTAGACACACTGCGGTGCCGCTGGCAGGTCGCCTCTGGGCAAACCCTTGTCTCGCTGGCGCGCGGCATCGTCGCCGACGAAGGGCTCTGGGGGGGTCTCTGGAGGCCCGGCTTCGGGCCAAATGTGCTTGGCATGGCGATCGCAGTGGGTGGCCGCAACGGTTTCTACCCCACTGCTCGCGACGCCATCACCTGGCTAACGTCCGCAAGTGCCTCCGACGCATCGGGCCCCGAGGTCAAGAATCGAAGAGGAAAAAACGCCGTAAACCTAAAATTCTGGCGCTCCGCGGGGATTTCTTGGATCCGCGCTGGGCCTTCCCGGCGGCGCCTCAGGCGCCGCCCCTGGCACGCTCAGGCCAGATCCAAGAAATCCGCGCGGAGCGCCAGATGTTTATGTTCATGGCGTTCTTCTTTTTCTTCTGAAGAAAGCTGGTGCAGGCGGGATGTTCGCCGCAGGCCTGGTGTCGGGCATGGCCAGCTACCTCCTGGCGTCGCCGCTGCTGCAGGCCAAGACGCAGCTGCAGGCCGAGGCGGGCCGTGTAGGCCCAGACGGCCTCTACGCGACGGGCGCGAAGGCCGGCAGGCCGCCCTCGTTGATGGGCCAATTTTCCACCACCACCATAGGTAGGACGGGGGAGTTGCTCCCCTCCTCCTCCTCCTCCTCCTCCTGCTGCTCCTCCTCCTCCTCCTCCTCCTCCCTCCTCCTCCTCCTCCTCCTCCCTCCTCCTCCTCCTCCTCCTCCTCCTCCTCCCCCCTCCTCCCCCCCCCCTCCTCCCCCCCCCCCTACATATGGTAGTGGTGGTGGAAAATCGGCCCATCACTCGTACCTCGGGGGTGCGCACGCGCTCCAGACACTCGCGGCGGAGGGCGCTGCCAACGGCGGGGGGCCACTCGGTTCCCTGCGGGCCTTGTGGCGTGGCGCGGGCGTCATCGTCGGGCGGGGTGCAGTGCTGTCCGCATCGCAGCTCATGGCGTACGACAGGACCAAGACTGGCCTCAAGGAGAGCGGCGCGATGGACGACGGCAAGCTCCTTCACTTGGTTGCCTCGCAGGCGGCCGCAGCGTGCTGCACGACCTGCTCCATGCCCTTGGACGTCGTGCTCACGGTGTACCAGAGCGCTCACAGTCTCGGCGGGGAGCGCAGGGAGCTGTACGGGTCCCGTGGCCCACTGCACTGCGCGGGGGTGATGCTGCGGGAGTCTGGCCCGCTCGTCTTTATGCGGGGTTGGGTCCCAGCGTTCATGCGCCTTTCGCCCACCTGCACCTTCTCCTTCTTTCTCTACGAGCAGCTGCGGCGACTGGTCGGCATCGGCTACCTCGATTGAGGCGGCCTGCTGCGACGCACCACGGGGCGCAGGCGCCGGGCCGCGCTGCGCAAACAAGGGACAAGCTTCACCTCTCCGCCGGTTCACGCCCAGTTGAATGACAGCAGCGGGTGGGGGCGGACGAGCACCTCTGCGCCCGCGCACGCCCTGTGCGCGAGGTTCTGCGGCCGGCAGAGGGAGGCGGAGAGCGGACGGAGGCAGGGCAGGGGCGAGCCTGGCGGGGCTGCGAGGGGCAGCCCGCCCCTTCCCCCCCCCCCAAAAAAAAATGCGAGGCAGCGAAGTGCGCAGTCACGTACCAGCATTGATCCTAGTCCGCCGAGCTGGATTCGCTCGTCTGCGCTTCTAGCCTCCCCCTGCCCCTTCGAGGAGCGGGGCCACAACGTGGCGAGTCCCCACAACTTGAAACGGCCAGGCGAGGGAGTCGAGCGCAGGGAGCAAGGGGCCTTGGCGCCCTTCGGCTCCGGGCTTCCTTGGCGTCCCTGGATATTTTTTTTGGTGTGATCCAACCTTTCGGCATGCCAGGATCCAATGGTCTGGACCACGGTGGGAGCATTTCAAACAGTTTGTTTTTGCAGCCGATGCATCATTCGAGCTGACTCCTTGAGAGCGGCCCCCTGCCACTGATCTGGAGCAAGCTGCTTACATCCATATGAAAGTACACCTCCAGCCGCCCGTCAGCGGCGCCTTCGGCGCCGTCACTGGCGCGCTCTGCGCGCCGGCGAGGAGGTGTGGAGAGGGGGTCCAACGCCGACCCGAGAAGTCCGCGCGGATGTCGGGAAGCGTGTGTTCCTGCCGTGTCCAGTTTTCTATTCCGGTCGCTTTGCATCTTGATATTCGCCCTCGTGGCCGCATGGATATTTCCCGCGATCTCTCTCTCTCTCTCTCTCTTGCACCTCCCGTCGCGACATCATTGCCCGTGGGCGGGTCGCAGATCTTGACAGGACCGCATCGACTGGGAAGGAGAAAGGGGAGGCAGGAGGAGGAGGAGGAGGAGGAGGAGGAGGAGGAGGAGGAAGGAGACCTTTGGGGGGCCTTCTGGGACAAGCATCCGCGTGGCGTTATATCGCGCAAGGGGCAGCTGTGAAAACACGGAGGCGCAATCTTCGTCGAAGCACTGGTCTCAGCACGCGCGCCACCCCCACATCGGGCGGCGCTGCGTTCGAGCACGGTGGATACCCGCGGAGAAGAGGAGCAGGAGGAAGGGGGAGCATGAGCAGGAGGAGGAGGAGGAGAAAAGGGAGCAGAAGGCGAGACGCTATTCATGGTTATTTTGAGCTGCAGCTCGAGGAACTGGGGATCAGAAGAGGAGGAGGAGGAGGAGGAGGAGCAGGAGGAGGAGGAGGAGGATGAGGAGGAGGACGAGGAGCGCCAGGACGAGGGAGGAGGAAGGGGAAAGGCGTGCGGAGCGCGCGAGCGACGAAAGGAGGGATCGACCCCGCGGACGTTCGCGCACAAGCTGCCCGCACGAGGTCGGTCGCGCACGGGCGTCCTCTCGGGTGCCGCGTCGGCGGCATGCGTGAGCCGCCGCGTGAGGGTCGCCGTGCCCAGGTGCGCGGGGCGCCAGGGCCTGCCAGGCCCGATGCGCCGAGGGGCGCCTCGCAAAGCACAGGGTCCGCGAGGCAGGAGCCCGTGGGCATCACGATCTCTTACCGTACGGACCCACTGCAGTTCCATGTACCTCTCTCTCTCTCCCTCCCTCTCTCTCGTGGGGGGGGGGTGCGGTGGGCAGGGAGGGTCAGGGTCTACACGTTTAAGTTCAGGACGCCAGCGTGGCCCGAGGCGGGACAAGACGCCAGCGGCGTCAGAGCTCACACCGCGTCTCATCGAGCCCCGGGGGGCAGGGCGAGCTCTCTCTCTCTCTCTCTCTCGCTCGCTCTCTCTGTCTCTGTCTCTCTCTCTCTCTCTCTCACACTCTGTCTCTCTATCACTTTTTTTTTCCTCTCTCTCTCTCTTTCTCTCTCTCTCTCTCTCTCTCTCTCTCTCCCGCCCTCGAGATACCTTCACTCCCTGTTGTCCCGTCTTGCTCCTCTCTTCCCGCGTGCGTGCTCTGCGGCCATCTGCTGTCCCGGGAGCCCTCGGGGGTCCGGCTCGCCCGCTGACGCGCACGGCGTGCCCTCCGACGCCGCCGCTGGCACGCTCCGCGCGCCAGGGAAGGGGCGTCCAGGAATCCAGCACCGATCCAACCTCGATCTCTTCCTCCTGCTGCTGCTGCTGCTTCTCCTCCTCCTCCTCCTCCTCCTCCTCCTCCTCCTCCCCACCCTCCTCGATCCTCGATGCTCCTCGGTTCTGGACCCCCGAAGACGTCTGCGTCAGACCTCCGAGCGTCTGTGACTCTGCCGCTTTTGCTTCTCTGGATGCCTCCGAGATGGGGTCCGAGCAGATGAGGTCGGAGGATCGCGCGATGCATCGCCTACGCATCGCCAATACATCGGAGATGCACCAGCGACGTCGCCACTGCATCGGCGGCGTCGGCGTGGCGAACATCGGCCCGAGGAGACTCGACCACGGTGACCGTGCGAGCGCATAAACCATCGGATGCTCTATCCTTCTCTCTCCTTCTCTTTCCTAGGAGGAGGAGGAGGAGGAGGAGGAGGAGGAGGAGGAGGAGGAGGATCTCTCCCTCTCCGCGCGAGGCCGGTGCACTCGCCGTGGTCACCCGCCCCGCGGGCGTGTCGCCGAGGCGCGCGCGCGCGCTGCGCTTCTCGCCCTGAGGCCGCGTGGCCGGGCACGGCCCGGGCACGTCCCCGCCGGGCCTCGGCGGCGGTCCCGGCGGCCTGGCTCGGCAGATGGCGGCGGCGACTGGCCGCCGCCCAGTGGCTCTCTCGCACGAGCGGTCCCCGGCCTCGGGGGCGCGGCCCCGCGTCTCTGGAAGGGCGGGTCGCGGTCTCGGAGGCGCGGGCGCTCATGCGCTTCGTACGACGGGTCGTGGCCGCGGCCGTGGTTGGCACGAGGGGCCTCCTTGTGGCCACGTGGGGGCTCGGAGCCGCGATGTTTCTCAGAACGGGCCGTGGCCCTCGGGGGCGCGGCTCCATGCATGTGCGGGCCCCCTTGGCCTCTACCTGCCAAGCCTTTCTCGCAGCTGGCGTTGCTGCCTCTGGCGGCTGCAGGACTTTCCGCACGAAGCGTCCGGGAGGTGGAGGTCGAAGGGTTGGGGTTCCCGGCAAAGTTTGGGGGTGTGCACGGACAGCTCCTGGACGTACAGTCAACCCGCATAGTAAGGATGGGCAACCTTCCAACGGGTACTTTTGCACCCTTGCCTCCTCGGTCCATCATTGGCCACTTTCGTCTGCCGCGTTCCGCTCGAGAAGCTTTGACAAAAATTGGCGTCCAAGGCCCTTGCATCCTTATCGCGCATCCTTACGATACGGGCCGACTTTACGCACGCACAGCCCCTAGACGTACAGAAGGCACATCTAGCAAGAGATCTGCCTGCCAGCAAGGGCGCCCACCGTTTTCTCATTCGAGATGCCTCGTGCTCATTGCCCACCCGCTCTGCTTCTCGCCAGACGAACCGAATATGGCCTCATGGCGGGATAAAGACATGCCTAAAACACTGGAAGACGGTCCCGCGGGTGTGTTTTGTGCCCCCTTCCGACGCCCATCCTGGAGTCCAAGAAGGGGCCCAAGAGGGGCCGACATGGAGCGAAAATCGGCTTCCAAAGGGTGCGGGGCATGCGTAGCTGATCTTGTTTTGGAAGCCGTCATCTTGAAGCTCCCATGGGGTTACAAGAAGAGGATGGGAGCGGCCGAGCGGCAGAATGGGGGAGCCTCGTTGCGGGGAAAGAAATAGATTGAAGCCCAGAGACGCGGCCATGAAGTTAAATCTCACGCGCCCATCGCACCGGTCGGCGGGCGGTTTCACGTTATTCCGCCGATTCTTTGTTCGGGGGAACTCGCGACGATGAAGTTTGCATGATTTTGCCATGCGGGGATTTCGTGGAAAGGCTACCAGCCCATCGCACAGCCGATTGTTTAACGAATCTGGACTATGTTTGAGGCCGTCACGTCTTGGGCATCTTGGCTCAAACGCTTCCTTGGGGTCGTTTTGGCACTCTTGGGGCGCTCTTGGGCTCTCGAATGGCGATCATGATTCTTGCAAGTTGCCGCTGTCCCGCAAATATCCGCAGTGTCCCGCAAATCTCCCAATCGGTCAGGGGTGGTGTGTATGGCCTTAACACGTGTGTGACTGATCATTTGGGCCCGTATTGTGGCCATCGTCGGCCAACGCAGGGATTCTAGGCGCTCTTGTCGGGCTCTCTAGAGACCTCTTGGGGCCATCTTGGCGTCCCTTGCGGGGGTCTGTGAACCGTTTTGGAGGGTCTGGAGGCCGTGTGTGGGGGGGAGGTCTTGAGAAGGTCTTTGAGCGTCTTGGAGCCATGTTGGCGCCGTGGAGGTCAGCTAGAAGCCGACGGGATCATCTTAGGCTGCTCGGGGAGCCTTATGATGGCATCCTGGAGCCTCTTCGATGCATGTGGAAGCGATAAGTCGAGATTGCATGTTAGTGCAAATGCATACAAGTACACGGACAGATTCGTAAGGAATGCGCACGCAGCTAAAATACGTAAACATTGAGAATCTGTGTCGGTTAGTTTGGGGTACCCGTGTTCCCCTGGGGAGGTTTGTGGGCCGTCTTGGGATCTTATTCGGATCTCTGGATTTCTTGTTGGTGTCTCGTTGGGCGTAGTGGCGCCTTTTCGTGTGCCGTCGTGGAGGGCATCTTGGAGGCGAGGCGTTGAAGGCTGGATTCGGGAAATTCCGAGGCCCCGGGGGCCCTTTCTCTGCCCCTCAAACGGGATTTTGGAGTTTGGGGGGTTGGGGAACAGGGCTTGAGGGAAAGGGGACAGCCAATCATGTCTCACGCCTTCTCGCCCCCAGCGAGCGGGGGTTTGCGGATAGCAAGAATTTATCACCTATGCGCTTGCCGTTGAGAACGCCCTGTGTTACCCTGGGGGCCTGGTGAATACAGCCCAGACTACCTCAAGGGGTTGCCTGCGCGTAAC